CCTCATGCACTTCCAATCACAGATGAGACAACAGGTGCTGTTTCAACCCCTTTGGAACCATCTTTCCCGGATCTTGATGTTCCCATTGCTGTTAGGAAAGGAAAACGGAAGTGCACTGCACACTGCATTTCAAAACACCTTTCTTACAGTCTGCTTTCTCCTTCATACTTTTCTTATCTCTCTTCAGTTGCTTCTAATCCTATTCCTAGGTCTGTGTTAGAAACTCTTGAGATTCCAAAATGGAGAGATGCCATGAAATCTAAAATGGATGCCCTACACAAGAATGATACTTGGGAAGTGGTGGATTTGCCTGAAGGGAAGGATCCGGTTGGTTGCAAGTGGGTCTTTACCATTAAATACCGGGCTGATGGGACTATTGAGAGGTACAAGACCAGGCTAGTTGTAAAAGGCTACACACAGACGTATGGGATTGACTATCTGGAGGCCTTTGCACCTGTTGCTAAGATGACATCTGTGAGGCTTCTCTTATCTCTGGCAGCTCACTTTGACTGGCCCCTTTATCAGTTGGATGTAAAGAATGCATTTCTGAATGGTGACTTACATRAGGAGGTTTATATGTCTCTCCCTCCAGGAATGTACAGAAGTGATATGCAAGGAAAGGTATGCAAATTGAAGAAGTCCCTTTATAGCCTCAAACAGTCTCCTAGAGCCTGGTTTGAGAGATTTAGAGCAACACTTGTTAACTTCGGCTATGCTCAGACACAGTCTGATCATACTCTTTTTGTGAAGAGAAGTGAATCTCTGGCAGTATATCTCATTGTGTATGTTGATGATATTGTTGTGACTGGTAATGATGCTTCAGGAATTCGTGCTCTCAAGTCTCCTTTGTACAGAATTTGAGATTAAGGACCTGGGGGAGTTGAGATACTTCCTTGGCATAGAAGTTGCTAGATCCAAAGATGGGATCCTTATCTCCCAAAGAAAGTATGTCCTTGACTTGCTTTCTGAAACTAGGAAGATGGGTGCTAGACTAGCTGTAACTCCTATTGATACGAGTAACAAACTTTCTGCTTCAGATGGAACATTGTTGGAAGACAAAGGGGTCTTTCAGAGACTTCTTGGGAAACTCCTGTATCTGTGCATGACTCGGCCAGATATTGCATATGCTGTCAGTTGTATTAGCCAATTCATGCATGCTCCCCGAGATACTCATATGGCAGCCGCAGAACGAATTCTGTGTTATTTAAAAGGCTCTCCAGGAAAAGGAATTCTGTTTACCAAGCATGGCCATATGAAATTTGAAGCCTATACTGATGCTGACTAGGCTGGAAATATTGATGATAGAAGATCTACTTCAGGGTATTGCAGTTTGGTGGCTGGTAATGTTGTCTCTTGGAGGAGCAAGAAACAATCAGTTGTGGCTCGATCCTCAGCAGAAGCAAAATATAGGGCCATGGCACATGGAGTCTCTGAACTATTGTGGCTAAGGTCATTGATGGAGGAACTTGGGATTGAGTATGACAAGCCAATGATGTCGTACTGTGATAATCAGATCGCCATTAACATTGCCCACAACCCAATACAACATGATAGAACTAAGCATATTGAGGTTGATAGACACTTTATTCGAGAAAGAGTCTCTTCGGGTGAAGTGTGTCTTCCCTTCATCACTTCTGAAGGACAATTGGCAGATTTTCTCACCAAGGGCATTCCCAAGGCAAGGCTTCAGCATGACACTGGCAAGCTGGGCATGATTAACATCTATGCTCAGCTTGAAGGGGAGTGTAGAGAAGATGGGCCGAATGGCCCATAGGCTGTTATTCTATGTTATATTTATGTTCTTTTCTGTAATGGGCCTTATTCTGGGCCCATCCTCTTCTATGTTGTGTTTTTTGTAATTTCTTGCCCAACCAAGGGTCTCTTGTAATTATTCAAGAATTAACTTAATAAAATTGTATTAGAGTGTTAGAGGGGGAGATTAGTTCGAATCTCTCATCCTCTAACCCTCCTTGCCGCCAGCTCTCTCTCCATCTTCACCAATCTTTTCAGTTGTTTTCCTTTTCTGGTTTTTCATCTAATCTTACACAGTCCCATACTTCGAAGGGCTGTTTTTCAACTGCATTCTTGATTCTATGAGTTGCTTTTGTAGCACGCCCCTCGAGGCAAGCCTGAACAAGTCTATGTTAGGGTCTGAAATTCTTATTTATCACATAAAAAATAATAATTTTACAACTTTCATTGCCGTTTAAGAAGATATTTTATTGCAATGAATGAATGAACAACATAAGCAAATAGGGGGTGGCTAACAGCAAAAAAGCAAAAAGCGCAAAATTTTAAAAAGGCGCACGCCTGGGCTGAGGTGCAAGGTGCATCAGGCGCATGCCTAGGCGCACCAGGCGCACACCTTTTGAAAGAGGTGCACCTAGGACCTGGGCGAGGCGCATACCCCAAAATGCGCCTCTCCTGTGTGCGCCTTTTAAATCATTGGAAAGGGATCCAAATTATGTATTGTAACTTACCATATAATATCATAATTAACCTGTGGTAATTATGACAAGTACTAATATTATATGATATAAAACGATAAATTGAAGGAGTAGAAGGGCAAGGGCAGACCAAAGAGGACATAGATTGAGGTGGTAAGAAATGATTTAAATGCTCAAAATTTAACTCTGGACATGGAACTAACAAAACAGAATTCATGTAGCCAATTCCCTATAGTTGGGATAAGGCTTAGATGATGTCATAAGTCGCTATGTAACAATAAGTCGCAAATCTACAATACGTCCAGTTCCAGAGAGATATTTCATCTGTGTATTTTCTCATTTGCCACATGGTACAAATATGTAACATATGATACAGAACTATATGTTGTAATATTCTAAAACATTGTAAAAATTCATTTTAAAGAAACAACAATATTTTTGACATATTTTAACTACATGAATGGTTCTTCAAGCAACTAGGCCTCAATTTTCCATACTGATGAAAGAGCATTTTGTAATAAGAAAATATGAAACATGAAATACAAAATGAGGGAACGAGTAGCCACCTATAAAGAATAAATTGTTTCCATCTTCTTTCTGTTGCAGAATATGGATCAGTTAACTTATCTATAAAGCAAGATCTTTACTGTATAATGACAATACTTGCCTTGGCTTCACATCCAGGCCATAATAATTGAATCAGGATATTTTAATATAATCATATAATGTCAATGCTTGCAAACAGCAGTTCTCAATATACATAAAAAAATCAGTAATCCAAATATTTTTATCTGTAAGTCCAATCACCAAGTTAAAGCATTTAAAGAAATACAGTAAATAAATATTTCTAAATCTATGTCTTTTCATCTTTTTACCCTTTTATTATTTTTTTTACTTGGACATGCCCTTCTACTGGTTTCATTAAAATGGGCACAAATTTGGCTAGCCTAGAAATTAAAACCCGTATCATTTTGGTTAATCAAGAAATTAGCATTACATGCTAACAGTTTGGCTTTCACTTAACTGAGCTATTAACCATGGAAAACCGAGTGCTTAAAAATTGATTAATGTAAGAGAACAGTTAATTCTGCTATAGATTCATCATTTACCTCATGCACCAGAACTTGCTTCATGGGTAAAGGTAGTACATAATGTCCTGATGTATAGCCCTGTTTAACACCAGAAAAATGTTCAGTTCAAACAATCAATTTTATACATGTTATAATCACATGCACTGAAAGGTGAAATAAACAAGTTAAACCTTGAAGTTAATGAAGTCATGGATGGGAGGTTCAAAAGAAAGTTCTGAGGTATCCAACGATGTTTCATGTCTTGAGATAGCTGACAAAGGCTCAGGTTTAGTATTCTTGTACGTTATAGAATATGAGACCATTGTATCAACTAACTGAGCCAGATCATCCTTCTCTCTCTCTGACAGTAAGTGCAAGGCCACCTGAGAAGGAAAAATACCATTCCACAAACCCGAAGCAGAAACAGAATCACATTTAAGATGCTTGTTACATTGAACCAAAAAAAAAAAAAAGAAAAGAAAGAAAGAAAAAGTTCTCTGCCATAGACCATATGCAGCAAAAGCATAAAGAGAGGTATGATAAACTTGGTTTGCAGTCCTATCTGGAAATGGTAAAGATCATTCTTCTAGTCATTTTATGCCTCAGAGAACATCAAGTACAATACAGATTTCACAGGTTTCTATTCAATTTTGTACTTCTACAAGTCCATTTCTATTATATATCACATTAAATTTTCTACTCATGCACAATTTTCCTACCAGAGGTAATATCAAGATTTTTGTAGCATAGAAGCATATGGACTACTTGGATGCATGTATTATATGAAGCTTTCCAATGACAACCCATCACACAGTTCAGTTCCATGTATCAAGTACAATACAGATTGTTAGTTTAACTGAGCATCAACCAAGGATTAAAGCATCGGTATCAAGTATCGTATCGGATCAATTGGATACAGATACGGATACGAAAACACCTTGGAAACGCATGGATACGAATGAAAAAATATGGAAACGCTTGGATACACTAGGAAATGCATATAAATTCCACAAATATATTAATAACATTATATTTAAGGTCAAAATAACTATAATTAATGTATAGATATAAAGCAAATGTATATTCTAATGGTATATGTGAAGAGATACATTACAATTAATATTGCGGGATACATAGAAATCATACAATTTTGTTGATAATGTATCAATCAAGAGTGCTAGAACATATTATATATATTTTTGCAAATTAATACATGCACAAAAACTATTATTATATTATTTTCTATTGAAGTTGAAGGCACAAAACATATGCAACTATTATATGTGAAATATTATATCAATTACTTCCTATTTTACTATTTTTAGTTTTTAACATTAACAAAAAAGTCAAGTAAAATTAATTTTCAAATGTTTGGTAAACAATATTTTTATTTTTATAAACAATAAACATGTTACTATAAAATTTAATTAAATTTCAATTAATAATTTATAAAAATATATAATCTTAAAATATATCAAATATATTAAAATTTCTAAGATGCATATCATATGAAACTTCACAGCTTTTAATTACTAAACTAATTATTCTATTATTAATACTTTTATTTATATAAATTTTATGAAATAAAAAATCTTTTTGATGTGAAAATAAATTAGCGGATTTGACAAATTCAATTTATATTATATTCTCAAGTATTTCATAAATAATATTTTTATTTTTTGTAAATAATAAATATGTTGCTATTTAATGCAAATTAAAATATTAATTAATAATTTATAAAACTTTAAGATACATATCATGTTCAAATTTATAAATTTTAAGTACTAAAATAATTATTCTATTATTAATAATTTTTATTATATAAATTTCTTGACATTAAAACAACTTTTTGATATAAATGTGGATATGAGAAATTATTTATTCTATTAGTTTATAAAATAATAATTTTGAATTATATTTTTTTCATCTTTAGTTGATGTTAAACATAAATATAAGTTATTTGTTGGGATTACATTTAGATGTTTGAATTGATAAATGTTATTATCACAAGATCAAATTTGGCCTAGTGGGTGAAGTTTGTATTTAAGGTTTGTGTGCTGGGTAATTTGGGTTCAAATCATCCCACGTGCATATTTTAGATAAACGGAACAGTGGAAGTTGAAACACTCTCATTATTGTATTGTATCAACGCGTATCGGCTGATACAATATGATACAAGCCAATACAAGCACATATCAGAGCGATATGTACGATTCAAGGGATACAGGTTTAGTTGTAGCGTTTCCCATATCCCCCTTGACCAATATGGATATGATATGCCCCATATCGGGCGTATTGTGTCGATATTTAAATCCTTAGCATCAACTTTTGCAAGCAGATGTGCTTCTTATATATATAATAAATTAGGCCACATCTATAGAATTGTACATACAGTCCTAAGATTGTCAACATAATTATGATTGTAGTGACAGGGGCTTTGCACTCACAAAAAAAAATGTCAATGTAAAAATAGCCAAGGAAGATTCCAACTGTTCCAGAGCACCATATTTGGGTTTTACTCCAGAAATTCTGGATCACCAGCCCATAAACTCTACCCTTGTTATAATGTCTTTGTACATTAGCTTCAAGTAGGAAAACTTTAACAAAAAAATAGAAAGGAAATAAAATAAGATCCCTGATATTTATATTCTCTTATTCTAGTTATCAAAGTTGTCACTGTGATCATTCTTTTCAAAAGATAAAACTGTTGTAGAGCACCATATTTGTGTCGCACTCTAGAAACTATGAATCACCAGTCCATAAACTCTCCTTGTTATAATGCCTTGTACCTTAACTCAAGGAAAGCAGGAAATTTTACAGAAAAAGAAAGAAAAGGAAACAAAATAAGATCTACAACATTGATGTTCTCTAATTCTAGTTGTTAAAGATGACCCTGAGGTAATTCTTTTTTAAAGATTTGATATATTTATATTTTTTGGGTAAGATCTAAAATATTTATATGCAATCTACAGCTCCAAAGGAAGAAGTGATCTGTTGCAAGTTGAAGGGGCTAGAAGGACTAGAAGCAGACCAAAAAGGACATGGGTTGAAGTAGTTTATTGAAACTTCAAATCTGAATCCGATCCGAAATCCAATATATCAGATTACATCCGAATTGTGTTTTTTTCAACTTTATTGTGTTTAAAACAAAGAAAGATTAAATAAGTTTAAAAGATTAATTAGTTTTTAACTTATACATATATAATAAATTTAAATAAATATAAAATATTGAATTTATTAATTATAAACTTCATATAATAATATATAATATCTATATGCATATAGAAAATAAATTTTAATCAGACATGGATCTTAATTGGATAGGGTGGGGTCAAATCCACATCTGATCCGATTATTAAACGGATGCAGGTTCCAAGATCCAAATCTGAAATTGTCTGATTGGATGTCAGGTCGGATTTCAGACCTTCAAAGTCCATTCAGTAGTAGGTCAAACATGCTGACATAAAAACAACAAAAGGAAGTAATAGCGATGAAATCAAACAATATTGTGTGTTCTGTTTATATCCAGGAATCCCTCTATTTTTCTTTTTTTTTTTCCTTTTATCCAGGTAATTCAGGGATTTTTTGATTGGTGAGTTTAATGCAAGGAATTTGAAGGCTTCTTTATCATCTAAAACTCCCATTACCAATACAAAATAAAAGTGTCAAAAGAAATATGGAACAAGAAGAAATGAATAAAATTTCAGCAGTTACCGGCCTCAGAGTTGGTGGTGACAAAATATGTAACAATTGAGAAATGGCATCTTCTACAAAATACCCAGCTGACAAATGCCTTGAGATAGATGGTGAGATTTTGTGATGCCAAGACCTTAAAAGATCCCTCTTTTCCATGAACAATGCTCGGTATCTGAAAGAATGCATTGAGATGATAGCAATAAATAATTACGGTGTCACTGGCAATGAAGTTCATGTCTGTGGGAAGAGAAGTACCTTTGAAAAGATTTTGGCCACTCAATATTTGGTTTTTCAACCTGAGCTATTAAATTGTGTATTGCTATTGCAACAGAGGATTGGTAAACTGAAAAAGAAGATTTTGAGGAAGTTCCATTAACCAAATCATAAGTATTGGATAGTAAAAACTTAGAATGTGCTGCTTGCATTTACCTCGTAGTTGCATCTGTTGAGTCTGCATAACATACTGATGCATGAAATCAGAAACGCCAAGATTGTTTAAGCACTTGACCTTAAAATCATTACACAATAGTCAAAATATATATTCTTTAGTGGTCAAATGCCTTCTTTTTGATAATGCAAATTTTTGAGAAGCTAGACCATAATCACACACACACACCACATTGCACATGGAAAGAGAGAGAGAGAGAGATGCAACAGCACTGGGGACTCACAGTCTTTTGCATCAGTGGATCATGATAATGGAGCTGTAAAATGTTTTCATGAATCCCATCCATGGTCAATTCGTATTCACCACTGTACAGCAACATTCACATTGTGAGGGAACTAGAATACCACTTAAGTATGCAAAGTGAGATCACTGGAATTCCATACCTACCGGTTAGATATAAGGGAGTCCAGAAAGTCAAAATTACTTGACGTAGTTCTGAATCTATTCATGGATTTTCTTTCCTGTTTCACTTTCCTCTTTTGGAAAACCTTTAAGGAACAAATATCTTCAAAACTTAGCCACCAGATATGATAGTGAAGCAATCAAGAAAGGTGAGGAAAGGAATTACTAGTTTTAGATTACCTCCTTCCAGACATCAAAAGCGCTTCTTGACATATCCTTTCGGCCAACCACTTGACAGCTAAGCTCCAACTGAATACAAGCAGTAAATAAATTAAATGCTATAAAGTTCACAGGTTTATTTTAAAACACCATGCTTTAGGTGCACTTAATAGCATACCACATTAAGTGTTTCTTTCTTCTTGTTGAGAAACTGAAGTGTATTTAAGCATGAGCGTATATCACATTCTGGAAAAGATAAACAAACTGAGATAAATGAAAATAGCAGGGCACATAAAAAAAATTGTAAGTAATCCATAAGCAAATTCTTACAATTATTAAATACATAGCATTTCCATAATGTTGAAAGTAGTAGTAGAAGTGGAACTATTAGCTATTTTTAGTTGCTACTTTTCTTTTATTTAGTTTATGGGTTTATTGTTATTGGGCCACAGGTCTATTTTAGTTTTTACAGGTCCTTTATTAGGGGCACTTTTGTAATTTTTACATATTTACGGCAACAATATAAGAGATTGGGGGTTCATTATGAGAACTACGAACTGATTTTTTCCTCCTTTCTCTTATTCTTCTCTCTGTGATTTTCTTCTTTTAATACCATATTTATTTATTCTTTAATTGATTGTTGCTGATTTATTCAACATATAACCAAAGAGATAATCTACAAAACCAGAAAATATGTGATAAACCAACAAACTAAGGATTCCAAGTCTCTAAAAGGAAGAGGAAGTGAAAAGTGAGACCATAAATGATCAAAACCTACATGCAAGTGCTGGTTCTGTACAGCCCTGATGAATCAGCTGTATCCCCTTTCCAACCATCTCACAGTTGGACCAAAGGATAATCACCAGTTGTTACTGATTTAGATAGAGCTGTGTTCATGAAATTCCTGCCCCTTCCCGTTAATAAACGAGAACATCCTTGTGAAAGTTAAGAATGTATACAGCAAGGCAAATCAAGCAGTTGGTTTCCTCACCAGTCTCAAGCTATGAGATAAACTTCTACCTCATTGGTTTAGCTAGGATTGTCTTTGATGGTGTTCAAGGTTGCAACCCCTTTTTCCTGTTAGCCCTCATCTAAATTATGAAAACAAGAAATGAAAATCCTTTTTCTTTTCAGGAAATAGACTTTTTATATCAGATTAGAAAAAAAGTTTCTCATAACCAAAAGGAAATAACTGAGCAGATATTCCTGAATATTTCTTGGTTTTACTTGAAATACAATTCTATGTTTCAAGGACTCATTTGGCAAACCTTTTTCTTGTTCAAAGCTATAGTGAGAATTGCGAAAAGAGCAAACGAATTATTTACAGTAAATTTTCCCATGTGAAGAGGAAACTGCTAACTTACCAGTATACTCAGCAAGTGCAGTTAGTGCAATAGAACTTGTCCTGAACCCTTCCTTATTACAGATATGCTTAAGCCTACCATGACCACATTTGGAAAGGAATGTAAATATAGTCAGATGAAGTAATTATATACAAGGAGAGGTTCTTTGTCCTAAATGAAAATGTCAAACCCCCAAAATAGAAAATCAGTATCTGTTTTATTACCTATTCACCACACGGCTAATTGTTGGGTGAACAAATATATGCACCCTAGTAGAGCAAACAAATAACTTAATGTTATTAAATCAAAATACTTCCATGATTTCTAGTGTCTAAAAACTGAAATACAGGAAGTGTAACGCTTCCACTTGGACTAATACTACTAACCAACAATAAAAATTCAAAATAAAGTTGTATTAACATTTTGGGTGTACTGGTAAAAACTTACTTTGCTACCTGGCGCAATGGCCTCAAGGCAGGTGCAAAAAGATCATTGCAAATACAAATCACCTTCGTTTCAGATAGTAGATTCATCAGGTCATTGCAAAAGGCATAAGAAACAAAAATGCAGCTATTTGGAATCTTACAGGTCTTAACAGTGATGCAGTTTTACGTCCCTTTTTGGAGGAAGTCTTGCCTTGTTCCTCTTGAGCAATATTACCCTTTCCAATTGCAGATTTCTTTTCAGCAGCAATCTGCTTGAATTAAATAGTGTGTTTTAGTTGGACAAACAAGCTTTCTAATGGTAAGGAAATGCATAGCTCAAAACTACTACAGGAAAGAGGAAAAGAAATAGGACATCTCTTCCATTTAGAAACCAAGCAAAACAAGATAAATGCAAATTAGCATCAACACAGTAACAAAATCTATTTCATCAAGATACTGTCAGGACATGACTTCAAGGTGCCAGACATAAATTTAAACTAGGAATTGAAGTGTTTGACATGATAAGAGACCTATGTACAGGTACCATGATATCATATAATTAAATAGCATTGGTTTAAAAAAGAACTCTACATGATCAAACAAGCAGAGACTAGGCTGGAAAGCTAAACATCTTGTTTAACCTATATAGTCTGAGTCAGGAGGGTGGGCATTCCAAAGGTTGAATTTGTACTTATATAGATATCATGTACTGTGTAACCTAACTGTATAATAAGCAATCAGGGTAACACTTTGTTGAGTTGTTGAGTAGATATATCTTACACAGCCTAACAATTCAATATCATTGGTTCAGAAACAAAAAGTAAATATCAACTTCAAATTATAATAAAGTATTCACTTTCTCGTTCAAGCTTTTGATCCTTTTCTTAAATTCCACCTTTTTAATCACATGATTAGGGGTGTTCATAAAAATCCAAAAAGCCGATCCAAACCAAGAAAACCAAACCGAAAAATCCGGTTAATCGAACCAATCGATTCAGTTTCAGTTCAGTGCTTTTGAAAAACCGAAGGATCAGTTCAGTTTTCAGTTAGCCTAAAAAACCAGCAATTAACTGAACTGACTGGTATATATCATAGTTGTCAAGGTGACACCTAGGCGAAAAGGCACCCTTGAAGGCTCGCCTCACCTAATCGCCAAGCAGTTTTCTATGTTGTGTTATAAAATACTTTTATATTTTTAATATTTTGAGATTATAATTATAAAATAGACATTATTAAACTAAAATATTCATTTTGTGTTTATATACTAATTTATTTTTATTAATTTCTTATTTGTTAGTGTTTAATCAACACAGACATTGCTAACTGCTGTATTTTGAACCCTCAAAGGCTTCAAAACCTGAACCAATAAGCAAGGAAGAATTTGAAATTTTGTCTAATCAACACATTTTCTTCTCCCACATCTTCTTCTTCCACCTTTTCTTTTCTTCTTTTCCAATAACAAAAATAGGGGTTCAGCCCCTCTATTCTTTGAGTTTTCTTTCCTTTCTTTCTTTTTCTTCTCATGAATATGCTGATTTTCTATACTTTAACATGAAGCTTATATTTTTCTTATGAAAGTTATGTATAATTATTAAGGAAATATGGTTATGGAACCTAAGGAACTACCCTAGGATATATGTTCTTTCTTAAAAAAAAATCTATCACCTAAGCAACTAGGTGACAAGGCGCCTCCTATCATCTAGCCTTGCCTTGGCACCTTGAAAACTATATATATATATATATATATATATATATAACATGCATTATATATAAATATATTATATTTATAATAATCTATTTTATAATATAATATAATATATATTTATACATTTATTTATACAATATATACTATAAATATAAAAAATTGACAAACCAAAGAACTTCACTCTCAAAAAACCAAAACTGGTAAACTGGTTAACTAGTAGATTCAGTTCCAGTTTGGGGATTTTCAAAAACCGGTAGGGAGTAAAGGAATGGAATAATATCTGATATGCTGAGAAAAGATAAGGAGTTATGCCAGATTAATTTTCCAAAGACATTTTAGGGTAGTTAGTAGTGTTTCTAGCAGGTCAAGAATCCCACCCATTAGAGCCCAAGCTATATTTGCTTCAAATCACCAAATGCCACAGCACCACGTTTTCCATTGGGAATCTCCAGAACCATTTTCCTAAAAGTGCAATGTTTTTTTGTCATTTATTCTCCCAATTCCAAGCCCCCTCCCTAATTTTGTCCATCAGTTTCCAACTTGCCAAATGATCCTTTTGTCATTCCCTAGGTCCCATAAGAAATCTAATTATCTTTTCAATCTCGTTCACTACCTTCTTTGAAGCCTACAATTTCAACAAAAAAAAATACAATAGGAGGTTTGAAATAGTCGATTTTATTAGAGTGATCCTCCCCACTTTTGATATGTAATTCTTATTCCATGCTGCCAAATTTTTTGAGAATATTTTAATAATGACTTCCCAAAAGGAACATCTCTCAAATTACCCCCCAAAGGAAGGCCCCAATATTTAAGGGGCCAAGCCTTTGCTTCACAGCCCAAAACTGCTGCACCCCTCTCCACCAAAGATGGTCCAAATGGATTACCACGAAGCAGCATTTTGAAAGATCAATTTTAAGTTCAAATACCTTTTCCACAATCTCCTATTGTTTTGACAATTTAGGAATAAGACTACAATAATGGAACCATATTATATATAAAATTCCATGCTACTTTCACCCATGTCCTCTTTGGTTTACTCGTAGCTGTTCCAAACCCTCTAACTTGCAATGGATCACTTCTTACTGGTGTCGCATATTCTAATGCACATGGCCAAACCATGTTAGTCTACTTCCTCTCATTTTATCACCTCTTGGGGTTATCCTAGATTCTAACAAATATGCACATTTCTTATCCTATCTATTCTAATTTCCCTACTCATCTCACCATCCACATCTCTGCCACAGTCATTATATCATGTTACTTGACTGCCCAACACTACCCAATACAACACTGCTGATCGAAAAAAAAGAAAGAAATAAAAAAAAGGAAGCTGTTGAAGTTTG